AAAGGATTCCGGTGCAACTGTGTTCTCACCAGCCTAAATTTGCAACCCTCTTTGCTGCCACTATCTCATCTGTCTCCATGTTCACACGTGCTCACATTCTCAGGCCCAAGCCTGCTGAGTTTGGACTCGATGGGATGCTTTGAGACGACTCTCGGTGCCTCGAGTAGATGCCATGAACTCAGCTTTCTGACTGTTTTCTCTTCCTCACGCCACCTTGCTTCCCCAGAAAACGCAAACAGGAACCCCACAGGTTGGAGTCGTTTGGCGATCACATTGTCAACGGGTTTCATCATCCAACACTCATTAATGTGTGTTCATGTGGTTGAAGTTTTCGAGTTTGGAGTGTAGTCACAGCAGTAGCAGCGCTTCATGCACCAGGGACATTGCTGAAGAAAGATACCATGCCAATGTGTGCAGAGTGATTTTTGCGGCTTCTCTCAAGAAAGGCATCTACTCTAAGGCTGCAGGAAGTTGAAGGACTGTAGGTCTTCCAGCCCATTCTGTTGCAATCACTGCAGCATGAGACTACTGTATCCAGAGGTGCCATCTCTCCCAGATCTTACTTTGGTCACACGATGGGCAGACTTTGCCATTGCAGGTTGGGAACAAATCACATATTCACCATGTTTCACCCACAAATACCCTCAAGTGCGCTAGACGGAGATGCCCATTCCAGAGACAAGGAAGAATGGTGCTAAAAAACCTACTTGTTCATATCAGTGTCCTGAGGCCTAGTTGAGTGCTGACAACTTCCGCCAATGTGTGGAGGGACCCCCCGCTGCGCAAAGATCCGCAGCTTGATTCATTCTCTCGAAAATGAACGGCGGTTGGCATTTCGAACATGTAGCACCCTAGGTGGAAGGTGTAGTAGCCTTCTTCCACAACTTAGTTTGGTAGGAGGCTTGCAGCTGGCCATTTGAGAATAAGGCCAGGAGCCCCTAATAACTTCTTGTTCCTAGTAGTAAGGCCAGGAGCCCCTAGTAGCGTCCTTGCTCCCAGTAGTGGGTGATGTAATCGAGCGATCTCGCAGGTCCGCTTTTGATACAGTTTATCACTGGGGCTTCCTCAGACGGACGGCATCGCGTCCATGGTTGTTTTTTGAGATGAAGCGCCGCCGGCAATTTGATGTCAAGGGCAGCTTTAAGACCTATGATCGGTGAGAAGGGCAAGGACATCTAACAACTTGCATTTGGCAGGTCAAAAGTAGTGTACTTGTAGTAATTATATAGTCGATACTGGCGTACAGGTTGTACAGTGAAGGCTGGACAAGAGTCTAAGAGGTTGGATAATGTTGTCTTAGCGTGGTCGCCACGCCATTCTTGTGGTTTTACAGGCGGTCCAAGCCTCAGCAACCACTTATGTGGACTCTAGCATCCACAAACAGTAGCTCTAGCAGCCAGCAGTCAGCACTGTCTGCCACTTTTGCTTGTATGTTGTGCGTGTGCACGTTTGTAAGCATTATAATGGTAACATTCTGTACGATTATCCAACACCTCGTCACTGTTTTTGCCAAAGCCTGGCGCACAATGCACACTAGCCCACTCGTAGGTTAAGTGGGATGATTTGCCAGAAGCTAGGCTAGGCACACCAAGCCAAGCGCTTGGGTTTGAATTTGAGGACTGCCTTCGACTTGTGCACTTTGTTCCCAGTGTAGTGCTCTGACTCTCGTTTCCCCCATGACCGGTGGCTGCCTGCACCTTGCGCTGCGATGTATTTTGAGACTCAGACTCAGTGAGTGAGAAATCGGGACTATACTTCCTGCGGGTATGGAGCCTGTGTGGCTTTCGGCTTTGTAGTGAGTTGTTTCTGGCTCCGTGGCCTTTCGGCAGGCTTTTTGCGGATTTTGTTGGGTTTTTGTGATTTCAGCTGGCTTCTCAAGACTTTAAACTTTAGACACCTTTGTTGTCCAGCGCCCAACACACCCTTTCCAACTTTGAGCAGCACAATACAAAATGACCCACACTTTGGCAAATCACTTTGGTGGTTCCACATGCCCTTGCACCAAGCTTGCCTCTTGTGTGGCCGAGTTTGACATGTTGCCAGGTTGTCTCCTAGAGCACGCTCCTTGCTAACACAGACTTTCATGACCTTGGCTGGTCAGGTTAGTTTTGCCTTGTTGCACGCTATATAGACTCCTTTGTTGGCGTTCTGGCGTTGGGACCCATCAGTTTCCAAAAACGACTTGATAGAGAGGTTCGGGGGTGTGCAGCGTAGGTGTTCATCGCCCTCGTTCTTTGGCATAACACACGCCTGTGTTGCTAGTTTTGAGAAGTCATTGTGGCCTGAAAGAGGCCCAGAATGGCACTGAAAACTAAAGCATCTCAACCACCCACTGCAATACCATGAAAAGATAGACCGAAGGTACCCCTTATCCAATAACTATGGTGGTGTGTTTGAGGAATTTGGGATGCCTCACCCACTGGCCAGGCTCAAAACTTGATAGGTACGAAGCTGACCAACAAATCTTCAAATAGAGGCCTCGTACAAGCCTTGAAACTTAATTGTCCAAAGTGTGCGCAACAGATGGTACTTGTAGATCGAAAGGACTAGCGACTAGGACAGTAACTCTGAAGCTCAAAACTGAAAACATCGTATTTCAAACAGAAGCTCATCCTAAGTCTCCAAGGTGCGATAGATGATAAATTAATTAGAGTATCTTTGGACTCAGAGTCTCCGAAGCGCTGGAGCAAGAAGCTAAGAGTTGTGAACATGTCGTACATGCCAGCAGATTTGATCCTCGGACCTGAAATGACAAAAAGCCAGCTAAATGCCACGGCTTGCTGATTTGGATGCTCAGAGTCTCCAACACACTCTAGTTGCCGGCAGATTATGAAGCTGGCCCCCCTAAAGAATCACATCCTCAAACACAAGACCTGATTTCCTGTAGAGATTCGCGACCTTGGAACACCTAATTAGTAATTCAATGTAAGTCAATGCGTGCTATGCCATGATGGATTCACAAGATTGTTTTGCAGCCAAAGGTTTGCACTGAATAGGCTCCCTAATGCGGTTGACACGACCGATTGAGCTCTTGGGTGTTAGTTATGAGTTATCAATGGTTTCGCTCTCATCATTCTTACATTTTTATGTTCAATTTGTTGACCGCCTGTCAAGCAGCAGTCAACAAACAATGTATAAGTGAGCAACCTCCTGAAACTCAGGATCTAGAGTGGCCTGCAGTGGCTTGCTGAGACCCAGATGAAAAGCGACCAGATTGACCTTCACAGTGGAGGACTGGATTCCCCACATCAAGTTGGTCCCCACATCAAGTTGGTCTGACACCGCCCAGCTGTGGTGAAGAAGTGCTGGGATTGATTGCTGGGATCGCTTGGTTTGCCCGCTTTGACAGCAGGACTCTCACTGTCCATCCTTGAGGCGATTCAAGCGAAGGGTGAGGCGTGAGCCATGGAACCAGTGAAGCATCTAGGCTTGAAGCAATTTGAAGCATTTTTTGACAATCCTTCAAGATTCAAGACCTTTGTTCACCTTTGCATGTAAGTAGATGCAATGCAACTTTGTTTAACGAGAGTCACATGTCATGACTGCTGCGCTGAGTCACTGTGCATCATTCTGACAGTCAAACCGCATATGACTTTCACTTTTGGCCCAAGCGCTCTTGTCCTCACGACATCCTTGTCTCAAGCTTCTTGTACAAACGTTCTTCAGGATGCTGTCTTCAATCGTGCGCCGTTTGCCAGTGCAGGCTGAGGTGCGGCCGGCCGTGCGCTTCCACTGCCAGGTGCCATGCGGAATCTTCACCGACGAGCTCCGTGTGCAGGCCATGATGGAGGATGCATCGACCATTCGTAAGTCGGTGGTCCAAGCACAAGAGCTCCACAAGGCCGGAGCGCTGCAGGACATCCACCAGATGGTGCGCTGGATTGCAACCAAGGAAGAGCATGCACAAAAGATCATGACAACTACAGCAGACTACTTCCTGGCACAGAAGGTGAAGAAGGCAGATCTTGACCCAGATGAGTACTTGAAGCGCTTGGCTCTCCACCATGATGTGATGGTGGCCGCGATGAAAGCGAAGCAATCATCAGAGCTGGGTCCAGTTGACACGTTGGATGCAGCCATCCAGGCGTTGGCACCCATCTACTCAAAATGAGGGGCCCAGATTGAGCTTCCATTGGCTTTCCGGAGATTGTTCCAGCCAATTTGGCCGTGAGTCCGTAGGAGTTTTCTGCAAGACTGACTAAGGGTTCCACATGTTAATGATGACACGGGCGGACATTTTGGAGACTCCGCTATGGAACCTTTCCTTCCCAAACTGGAAAAGCCATGAAAAGCCTTTTAAAGGAAGCTTTGATTTGAAACCATAGGGAACTGAGCAGTGCTGAAAAGAAAAGAACTGGAGCTGCATGTTTTGCATTGTGGCTGCACATTGCCAGCTTCTCATTCGGCCTTGTGTTACTTGGCTGCGAGTGTTGGGGGGCGCAAGCCTTAAAGAACAAGGCCAAGCATTCTTCAGAATCAGAATGTGTCGTTCGAGTAATGCTGTGGCGTGGTGGAACATGCGAAGCAACACGGAGGCAAGTGCTGGACAAAACTGCACTTAGGTTTGACTTTCCTAGAAAGGGAACAATCATGTCCGCGAGCTTGTCATTTGCATGTTTCTGGTTGACAGCAGCAGGCTTCACAAACATGTTAGCAACAGGGGTGTGGCCTCACCAAGTTGAAGTCAACGCCTCAACGCCTCCGCCATGGCTTGAGGGTGCGTACCAGTGCTTTTCAGGCAGAGCACGGCTTCCAACATGTCGCGAGAGTGCGGTTGGTCAGAGACACGGAAAATGCAGATGTTGAAGGTCTGATGGCCCAAGACTTGGTATGAATTAGAGAGGTGTTCACTTTGAATCAACTAAATGCTTTAGAGTGGAGCTAGGCAGCTAGGTATGGCAATCATTGAATCATGGATGCAACTCCAACCGCTTGGAGCTAAGCTGTCTCCTAATCATCGTCGTTTCAGGTCGGTGCTTGGTGGAGAAGTCGTTTCCATCATGTGGTCTTACCTGGGGAAGTCTGCCATTTTCTTGGGCGGCTGTTGCAGCGGCGCCGCGGCGGCCACCTTTTGGCGCTCGGAGGAGCGAAGGCAGCAGATCAAGTCAGGAGAGTACTACCAATTGAAAGGAGCGGAAGCAGAGAAGCAGAGCGGTTCCGCAGAGAAGTGACAGGGAGTGAGTTATGGTGAACCATGATGAACGGGCATAAGATTGCATTGGAGGCATTGAGGTGAACGTGACCTGCCTGAAGGTGTGATCAGTGACATTTACTCAGAGTGCGGAGTATCTTGATGAGGTACCATGCGACACGGTTTTGTTTAACCCCGGCCAGAAACCTGTCTATAGTGGTCACAAGTCAATGCAAACTATTGCAAACTGTAAAATCAATTGTTGGAACCATGATGGTTAAGATGGTTAAGGATAAAACTGTTGGAACCATGGTTCATTCAAACGGACATGGTTCCAACCATTCATCAAATAAAGCCACTGATGATGGGATGGTCAAAGGCGGCTTGTTTGAGGAAGCTACTACCAAGTCCTGGGGCACGCATGGGCCGCTCTTCTGCATTGCTGACCCACTGTATGTCCACGTGCTCAGATGCGCATGCAAATATGACAGGCTAGCTTAACACAGCTTAAATTAAGCTTCATCTAAGGACCACTTCCGCAGAGATTTTTGCGGCCTGGCACTGGTCCAGTTTAAAATATCTTCCTCGGCCTTACTGTTTATAGGGAGAAGGTCAGAATCATGAAGAATCATTGTCCTTGTGTCAACACACTGGGCTACACAACCTTGAAGTTCTGCTCGAAAAGTCCTTGGTACCTTTTCGAGCAGAATAGATCTTGTGACCTTGCTGCTTGATTCTTGGGCATGTTTTCTTCATAATATTCTGGGACATCCTGAGTCCACATTGTTTTGGTCAGAAGACCGTTGACATGATTTTGCCTCAGAAGAGTGACTTAGGCGTGGTCTACCGTCCGCTGTACCACTGCGAGGTGCAGCTGGCACAAAGCTCATGTGAACCGAAGCGCGTCAAGACCCAATGATGATTCTTAAGCTCTTAAACTGCATGAGCCTGTCCCGTGTCACAGTAACGGTCAGATATTCATTGCCCAATCTCAACAGATCTCAACAGCATGTTGACTGCAGGATCTTAAGGAACTGGATGAATTGGGTTGACTCTCGTTCCACCTCATTGACCTGTAACTTTATTTTGTGGGAACCGGGGAGACCTCAGCTGTTTAGCGCTGCTCGTGCCACTGCGCCGCACCGGTGCCATTTCCCGGGGGCATGGCTGTGGAGCTGCCTCCGCGTCCAGGGCAGGCAGCTGGGAAGCCACAGGATGATGAAGCGAGAATTCGCCAGGACGTGGCTGTGTTGTCAGACATGTGACCAAATCCAGCTGGATTTCTGGGATGTTTGTTTAACAAATTAAATTAATGTTATAACGTTATGCCACATGCTGCTTGGAATGCATCAACTCAGCAGCTATTGAGAACTGCAGCTCCAGAAGGGGAACTCCCGATGCTCAGTCAAATGCTAATTATATTACATATAACTTTGCCTGTTAGGCATTGGGATGCTCAAGGATCTTCAAGTCAACCGCTTGAGAGGCATAGAGCTACAGTAATCAGAGTGAACAGTTTTGGTTTGACCTCGTTCCCTTAAAATGAATACTTCACCATCATTGTCCCCTTCTGGTCAGCACTCAGATGGGTCAGATGGACTTCATCCGCTTTGACAGGACTTGGCCACGCTCTGTGTGCGCGGTGAGATGCAGCAGGTCGTCGAAGCCTTGCAACGGCCCGAGGTGAAGCAATTCGCTTCCCAGCCTCTAGATGCTGCTGGACAGGGCAAGAAGAGGGGACAACATGGATATTTTTCAAGTTTTTCAAGGATGGTCAGCACAAAGGATCAATGCAGAACGCGTAGCATACAGACATACAGATCTTTGGGTTCTGGACTCTAGCTCGATGCTGCGAGTGAAGAGCATGCAGATGAGTCAAGCACAGCTTGGGCTACCTGCGTGCAGGAGCCTCTGCTCTCCATCTAGCAGCCTTCGGCGGACATTTGGCCTTTGTGCAGGAGAAGTCATGAGAAGATATGAGAAGTAGTATGAGAAGTGCTTCGTAGGGGGGGGCCAGTAGTCATGAGAAGTATGAGAAGTATATACTGTATGTTTTCCAGTGCTTGGGTGGAACACATTCACACTTACGACATCCGAGCGCCCCCCTTCTTTGTCAGTGATGCTTAGCGTTACGTAGTTACTTTTCCGATTCCTGCTGAGTTGTGTAGTTTTTGTTTCCATCGCAGGACGAATGCCTCCGGTTGTCAGCCGTTTGTCGTTGTCGGTGTGCCATGCGGTTTGAATCTGATGCACCCTTTTCATTTTGAATTGATCTGCTTCGGTCGGGTTCAGGAGCTACTCAACAGCTCCTGCGAGGTGAGCGTGCAAGACAGCAACGGTCAGGAACCACTACATGTTGCTGCTGCCGAGGGGCATTCAGACTTGGTCTTGGAGCTTTAGCTTGGAAGGGCGATTCGCGGGATAACATGCACAAGGCTGCACCATCATACCAAGTACTGGTGCTAGCACTTCTCCACAATTTTCTCTAGTATCAATAGCTTCAATGCTTTGAGGACGGGTCACCATTTTGGATTCTTGGTCCAGCCTTTCTCCCATTCTACTTCTCTCTTTGCGATAGCGATAGCATGTGACAAGGAGGGATGTCATTGGACATGCCCTGGGTGTTGAGGAACTCCTCATGGCCAATGCAAATGTCAATGCTGCAGATGGCCGCGGTCAGACGCCTGGTTGCAGAAGTTGAGGTTGAGATAGACTGGGGACAAGTGGCAAATGCGGCTAATGCCGATGTGTTGTTAAAGTCTAATGTCCCCATGCCCTTGGATGTTTATGTCCCCATGTCCCCGGCCACTTTATGCCCTTGGCTAATGCCCTTGGTGAAGCATGCTATCTCTCAAGCTACCAGGGCCAGCCCACCTAAAGCATTTGCTCATAGGGCATTGTCCATCCAATGACATGGCATCCTTTGCACAGTTGGACCATTGGACCTCTTTATTCCAGGGAGAATCTGACAACTATGGTGTGTGGTGATCTCAGGACGGCCTTGCACCTATCCAGCTTGGTTGGGCCAGTGGCTTCTATCTCAGTGCTTCTGGACCAGAACGCGGATCCCACCTTACGTGATGTCTTTGGTCGAACGCCACTCTTCATCGCAGCGGAGCAGGGCAAGACGGAGCTGATGGCGTTCTTGTTGGAGAAGGACCCAACCACAGTCAGCATTCCCAACAATGAGCTTTGGACACCCCTGCACGTCTCCGCATGGAACATGCAAAGCGCAACTCGGCAGAATGGTGCATCACTCACAGTTGGAAGGCCTGTTTCACTTCAAGCGCGGTCCAACACTTCGCCAGCCACGGCTTCGCCAGTGTTGCAGGCGGACCGTTCTATTCTTGGAGAACAATGAGCCAACCATTTTGTGATGCCTTAGAACACCTTTCACAGCTTGTTGATAGAGAGGAGTTCCTGAACCGTTGACCAACTGAACTCTGCATGCCCCCTCGTATTCACAAACACGATGCAGGTATGTAGCGCAAATGACTAAACAGATGGAAAGGAAAACCAATGCAATCGCTATCATGTGCAATTGCAAGTCCACATTCGTTTTGTATGTACAGTGGCCTGGCTTTCCCATTGATTGCAATTCTTTAAAACCACGGACGCTTCCAAAAGCGCCTCAGGTGAAAAATTTCACTCGGCCACTGAAGTTCTTGGAGGCTGTGCAAGTGCTCCTCAACGCCAAGGCACTGGTGGATGCCAAGGATGAGAACTGCTGTACGGCCTTGCACCGCAGCTTGGTGGAATAATGTTGGATCTTGATTAATCAACCCCCCCCCCCCCCCCCCCCCCCCCCCCCCCCTCAACAATTGAGACTCCATAATAATATGCTAGAAAACCAATCAATTGATAAATAAATAAGGAATCCTTAGCTAGCTACCTCTGGAGCTACTCTGGCAATACTAAAATGAAAGGAATCATTGCTTAGCTATCTCTGGCAATACTAATTGAAAGGAAATCTCCAAAAAACAAGCCAGAGATCAAACATAACAATATATAACAATGAAAAAATCACAAAAAACAACTATCCCTTAAAAAACAGTGTCATTATTCTGGGGTACTTTATTAATCCAGGTTGAACATTATGGTGGAACTAAACCCCGGCTGTTTAAGCTCAAACGAACCACAACGTAAAGCGGTGGACTCATGGACTAACCCAGTGGATCCCAATGGACCACGACTGCGAGACACTCGGGACCATGATACCAAGGTGCAGCCCAAGCTGGCAACTGCGAGACGCTCAGAACTTTGTTGGCGGCAGGGGCAAACGTAGCAGCCGAAGATGAATGCAGGTTGCTGGGATCCAGGGATATCCAGGGACTACCTATATAATGAGATTTTGTTTTGGCGGCCATTCGCTGCAGAAGAGGCACCGCAATGCAAACAAGGCGTTTTTGTTATTTGTATTGAGTTATTTGCAGGTGGACACCTTTGCACTACGCCAGCCAGCTAGGCTGGTTAAAAATCGCCGACCTTCTTTTGGATGCGAAAGCTGATGCTGCACCCAAGAATTTGGCATGCTCAACACCTTTGGCACTTGCAACCATCGAAAACCAGGCAGGCTGACAGTGGCTCACAGCCTCGGTTTTGGGTCCAATGCATCACAAGAGTGTGTATATATATATGTAAATATGTTCAAGAAGGACTGAGCACCGGAACTAGCTGAGAGATGTTCAGAACAGGGCAAGGTTAGCATTTTGGTAGGAGCACGGTGGAAGGTACAGCCGTAGAGCTGGATTGTGGAATTTGAGACTTTTTTTCAGGTGCGGATGGTGGAACTTTTGCTCCAGCACGGGGCAGATCTCAATGCCAGAACCAAAGGGCTGCTCTCCCCTTTGATGATGGTGAGGAAAGAGCCAGATGCTTGGCACCAAAGCTGCTCCCTCAAGCAATTCATTAATTACATTATTCTCGGTTTGGTGTGTTATGGTTTGATGTCGTTGCTGGCAATCTTGGGTAGAAGCACACATAGACGAATACATCACTCAACGCCTAGAGTCCGCTGCCGGTGTCCATGCCGAGGACAAGTATGCAGACATCAAAGCGCTGTTTGAGATTGGCTTTGTGAATCACTGACCGTGCTTGGTTGTTTCATCACTGCCTAGCATCGATCTAGCATAGCTTCACGAGTTGGAAAAGCCGACTCGAAGAATTTAAGGACTGTTGTGATCTGAGAGATGTGACATGATGTGACCAATGAACTGTTGCACTGTTGCACTAGGTCGTTTAGCTATGCTGAAAATTGACACCCCCACCCACACGCACTAGTACATCCACAAACACAGACATCATATAATATACCCCCAAACCATTGAGGGACACATGTCCATAACCTGCTTTGCATCCTGAATCGACAGAAGACGCACATCCGAACGCGAGGATAGGGTCTCAGTTTCACTCGAAGCAACAAGCTTCGCCAGACAAGGTCTATCGTGGCATGTCTCAGTCATGTGCGATATGGAGCCATCCGCGTGATCTCACCCAAAAAAGGCGTGCCGAACTTCAAAGAAGGGCCCCGACAGTGTTGCATCTCCACAATCATTGGTGGTGACGTCAACTGGTGAGGTCGTCAATACTGGGAGGTGATACTGATGCGTTCATTTCTGCTGTCGACAGTGATGGGACACGACCCGCAGCTTTCAATGCAAACTGATCGTGCCAGGCCCGTGATGGCCGCTTCGAAGCACACTTGTTGGCAACTTCTCATTTTGAGCGCCACCCAACTGCACTCGGACACCGTCCACGAATCGACGAACTGCCAAACTCACTCCTGAGATCAAACCAATGACCACCTTGGACGGACCATTTTGACCAAGAAACAGCCGACGATGGGGACGCCCCCCTCAGATGCATCAGAAAAGACCCAAAACCAATATGTTTGTTTTTTCAGTATTCATGGGAGATCATGGGAGCGAGGTTTCGGGGAAGCAGGCTCAGGGAACCGCTGGTGCGCGGGCAGAAAGATGTCCAAACCGAGCGGTCTCTATTGGGAGTTTCGACAAGTATTTCCAGCCGGCGATGCAGAGGAAGCTGGCACCCGAGTTTGGTACATGATTGAATCAACTTGCCTACGTTGGGCCGGAATGGGCCTGGATGGCCTCATGTTGAACCTAACTTGGGCCCAAGTTGGTGCAAGTTGAGCCCAAGTTGATCCTAAGTTGGGGCCAACAGAGATGAATCCATGTTCTGAAGATTCCTGCCCCGAAATCCCCCGAAATGTCCAACACAACCGGTTTTAAGCAAGCGTTGGAACAAAGTAAAACGTAGGGGGCTTTATGTAGTTGTATTGGGCCTGTGACTTCCAACAATGTCCCTACCTAGCAAATAGCTGACTACAGCTACTACGTTGCTATGGACATGGAGGTCTCGACACACGAGTTACACGCCTCAGCACCTTGGGCGGGGGAATTGGTTTAGCGCTTTGCTTTAGTTAGGATTAGTGTAGATGGTTGATCGACTTTGGGAATTGCTTACTGTGGCTTTATTCGGTGATGAGAGTGATAAATCATATGTATTCATATGTCGACGTTGGTTGGTCGACAGCAGTGCTCCTCCGAGTTTGTGCCTTGATAGCTGCTATAGAGCAAATCCTTTGAGGTTTTGATGAGTTCAAGAAGGTGTCCTTTGATGAGATGGACCTTGCAGCCCAAAGCTCCTTTGATGGGATTTGCCATGGAGCATCCCACACTGACACAACTGTGGAATCAAGCATCGCACGAGGCGCCACCGGCTAATGAGGCAATTCAACAATGATCTCATGGACCCGAGATCGTGTACACACCTTGCTTTTGATGCTTTTGGATTGTATTCCCCCTGTTGCCGCATCAATCAGCTTTAGACCGGATAGCAAGAGAGGAGCCGAACTCATCATCTAATTGGGATACCCCTGACAAGCCAGCGTTTGCCCTAATTGTGGTTGCGGGCGAGTGTGTGCAAACTGAATTCTTTGACCCCAAACTCACTAAGCTCAGGTTGCGCCTTGCCGGGTCCCTTCTTTCACGACCAATACTGGGGCTTGCCGCCACGCACGGCTCCGGTGAGTTCGGCCCAAGAGGCGAAAGATGTGCAGCTGCTTGGCGCTGTACGTGAAGCAATTCTCCATTCAGTGAACGTTCATAGGGCATATCAAAGTTGAATGGTCATATATATAAATCGATTCGTAACAGAACATAAAAGAACAATTGATTCCTATTTCCAATCAAGAAAAATAGGTTCGTAATGGTTAATTAATGGTTCGTATCAAAAATAGAACTGTGTTTTTTTTTTTTTTTTTGTGGCGTCTTTGTCCATTGCTCGCCTGGTCCTTTGGTCACTTCATCCGCTGGTCCGTGATTCCCTGGTCCCTTTGGCCTTTGGTCCGCTGGTCCCCTGGTTGCTTGGTCGCCTGGTCCGTTTCTTTTCCAGCAGGACGCTGTGAGAGTGCACTTGTTGTTGACATTTCTGTCACTTCTGTTTGCTGGTTTTGCTCTATTTGCTGACGACATGACATTGATGGGATTGTGAAAGTTGTAATTGTGTAAGGTTTTATTTTGCTTTCAGAGTCATCTTTTCAGTTGTGTTGCTCTTATTGAATGCAGTTCAGTCAGCACATCAGAACCAGAAGGCAAAGAGTTGCAAATCCTAAATGGACTAATTCCAATTCAGTTCTAATTGATTTCAACTTCTGACCTATTTATTTTGTTTGTACTGTATTTTTTAATTGATCTTTTTGAGCCTAACTCAATGCAACTATCATTTACTTCTACTTTGATTTTGATTAAACTCCATACAGAACCTAATTCAGTTTGGATTCAATGCAAATCTAATTGTAACTAAATTTATAGTCTATTTACCATCCAGTTCATGCATTCAAACTTTGCCAATCTAGCTTAGCTTTTATGCAAGTTAAATTTACTTCTAGAGAGTGCGTGTTGTTTTTAAAATGGCAACTTTTGTACTACTGTACATTACTGTACTTATGCTTTGTTTTCTTGAAGTTTGCTGCCTCAAAAGCATCCTCAGCAACACCCGCTCTCTAGAATGAAAGCAGAGCTGACTCAAAATTCAATTTGCATTGACTTAAAGTACATTTGCATAGACTTAGAACCGAATTGAGTTAAATTAGAACTAGACTATATATATAATAAAAGTAAAAAACTGGAAGTCAAAAAGGAATTCAATTAGGATTGACACACAATTACATAAATTTTGTAGTATAATAGTGTCTAAATTTGCATTAAACTAGACATTAATTACACGTAAATTGAAGTAAAAACAAGCATCACGTTTGACTAAAAATAACATTGACTTAGAACTAAATGTGAAGTAAGTTAAGAGTAAATTATAACCCGATTAGACGTGAGTTAGGTTTAACTAATTTTGAATCGAAATTTCATCAGTGAAAATAGAACTGAATTAGATTTAAAGTAGAATTGGACTGGAACTGTTTAGTCCATAGCTCAATTAGAATTCGATCAATATTGAATTAGCATTAGAATTGAATGACAATTACAATGCAATGCCATTTGCAGTAGAAATAATTTAGACTTGAATTTAGATTCAGCTAGAATTGAACTAACATCAAATAAAGTAGAATCTAGAATATAACAAGAATCAAATTTGAATTATAGGCTCAGGCTCAGGGGAACATTGAATTAGACTTCAATGAACATCAAATGCAAATTAGATTTTTTGGGGATTCAATTAGGCTTAAATGAGTATTCAGTATTAAACTAGAGGTCAATAGAATTAAATTAGAATTGAAGTTGAAGTTTACTTTTTCATGCCTTCAGTTCAATTTTGATTTTTAAGGAGAGTTAAAATTGTAACACATTTCAATCATGATTGAATTAGGCATAAATGTGAAGTCAATTAGACATAAATGATAAATTTCTTATTCAATTCAAACCTTCCAAGTGAGTTAGAATTGAACTAGACTTGTTTAATCTAGAACCCGGCTAGAATTGAATTAGAATTCAATTAGAATTGAATGAACATCAGGTACTATCAACCAAGACTATTCCAGGATCAAACAAAAACCTGGAGAAAACAAAGCAAACAAAAAACACAAAGAACCACAAAAAATAGATTAGACCCATGGCAGAGGAGAGGCTGGACAGGTTACATAGGTCTGAACTGTTTGTTTTCTTGTCCATTGTTTTGGGCAGACCAGCCAAAACAAAAAATCTGAAAACAAGTTCAAACCCATGGAGAGGGACTGAGGAGAGGCTAGACACTGGACATAGGTTTGAATGGGTCGTTTTTTTCGTTTTTGGTTTGTCCATTGCTTTGGGCAGACCAGCCAAAACCAAAAAACACAAAGATTAAAAAAACATAGTCACACAAACTAAACACAACAAGTGGTGGCCTTGGGCTCTGGAATCGTGTTTTCTGGTTGTTTTGTATGCTTTTCAGCCATTTTTTGATCATGTACAACCACTGCGGTCATTGCAGGTGCTGCTAAGCAGAAATTGTCAGTGGTTGCAAGGGAATGAATTATATAGCCATTGCAGATGTGTCAAGCAGAAATTGGTAGTATATGTCTGTGAATATGATGAAAAACGCACTCTCAGGGTGTACCCTTTTGTTCCCCACCTGTCAGATGAGGGTTGTAGATTTTATGTCAGCCCCATCTCCTCCTCCCTCCTCCTCCTCCTCCTCCTCCGCGTCCTCCTCCTCGTCCTCCGCCTCCTCCTCCGCCTCCTCCGCCGGACCTCAACCGCGACCATCCACACCCAGTGTTCCCTCAACCACGACCATCCACGCCCAGTGTTCCCTGCCGGACCTCTACCACGACCATCCACGCCCAGTGTTCCCTGCCGGACCTCAACCACGACCATCCACGCCCAGTGTTCCCTGCCGGACCTCAACCGCGAGCTCCAGACCCAAGTGTTCCCTGCCGGACCTCAACCACGACCATCCGCGCCCAGTGTTCCCTGCCGGACCTCAACTGCGAGCTCCGGGCCCAAGTGTTCCTTGCCGGACCTCAGCTGCGAGCTCCAGGCCCAAGTGTTCCCTGCCGGACCTCAACCACAGCACACAACCACAACCACAATCACAAACACACAACCACAACACACAATCACAAACACGCAACC